GATAGGACCCACAAGGTGCTGTCAGTGGCTACAAGGGATACTGACCAAAACCTGCTCCTGACCACAAAGGGCACCAAGAGCAGAGCACCTCCCAGACAATGATCCCAAGCCCCCATCCAAATAGCATTTTAGCTCCCAAACCCACGATTCCTTTCCCTTTCATGGCAGCCATGGAAAAAAAGGCAAGAGGCCCCCCTCTGTTCAGCTCTCCTAGATCTCACAGAAGTAATCTAGCCTGTGTTTTGATTCAAAACAAAGAAACTTTTAAAAAACATTTCAGTTGAAACTTGCATAATTCTTCCAAAGTAGAAACCTTCCCTCAACTTTCGCAATCCTTAGAAAGAGACACTATTGCACAGAATCCAGCCCCAGCCATGGCCACCTCACCTCCTGCCAGACAGCTGGGGCAGGCCAGCCCCTGAACCGCAGCCTCCCTCCTGGGGCTGCAGAGACAGCAACTGCGACCTGCCCCCCACCCCCCGGGGGGAGGGCACCCGGCTCCAGGGCAGGGCTGGGTTCACACTTGGCCCAGACTTCCTCACCCTCTACATCCTGTCTGCCCTTAGACACTTCAGACAGACATTACACAAACTGACTGCAGGAGAGGTTGAGAAACGCTGAGACAGAGTCAATGACCTTACTCCTGGGAAGCTTCTTGATGACCCAGGGCCTCCAGTGGGCAGCCAGGGACAGAGGTGAGGGCTACTCAATGACCCTGCTTCCTCCAGATGGGGAGGGACCCAGATGGCTCCCAGAGGAGCCCCAGAAAGTGGCAGGATAGATGGACAGATAGGCTGATAGGCTATGCTAAGAGAACTTGGCCTTCTCAGAGATGGATGTGCACCAATACTCATTACCACCCCCACCCACAGCTGGCTATGGTATGTGTAGAACCTAGAGCCCACTCTCAAGCTGCTATCCTACCCTATTAAGACCCACTGGCCTTGGACTGGAACCACCACCTTGGCAACCATCCCAAAGAGCCCCCTCCTGGACCAGGGCCTGACTTCAGGACCTGGCACCCCACCTACTTGGCCCCAGTGTCCAGAGGGGAAAAATCAATAGTAACTCTAAGAAAGCCCAGCACAGGACATGATCCCAGAGAACATTCTTCAAAACGATGCCAGTGGACAAAGGGCAGCTGATCTTTGGAAGAACACCCAGACCTGCAGGTGTCCAGGAGACAGGGTCCCAGCATATTGACATTGTCCTCTCCTATAGTAATCTTCACATAAGAACAAACCACAGCTGACCATGGTGGTACACAAATGTGATCCCACCACACAAAAGGCAAGACCCTATCCCAAGAAAACCAAAAGAGCAAACCACAACCCACTGAGACAACTCCTGAACCCAGCACCCAGCTCTGCACCCAAAAACTATAACCATGTCCCAAAAACCCAGGGCTCAGTGCTCCCTAAAGCTGACCACCTGGCTAGGTGTCCAGTTTAGAAACATGACCTCTGGGCAGGGGTGGCGTGCACCTTTAATCCCAGCACTTGGGAAAACAGAGACAGATGGATGGATCTCTGAGTTCAAGGCCAGCCTGGTCTACAGAGCTAGTTCCAGGACAGCCAGGGTTACACACAGAAACCCTGTCTTGGCGGGGGGAAGGGAGTAGCCAAGAAACATGACCTCAGTCCTATTATCCCACTATGAGGAATTCCAACAGTCCACATAGAGTGACTATATCAGCTGACAGAATAAAGTCCTAAGAATCCAAGCTCAGGAGAGGACAGAGATGCAGTAACCTAAGATAACACAAGCTCCTCCACACCAAAGACCACTTCTCAGACCCACAGATGGGGTCCTGCTATGGTCAGAAAGAGACACTGCAGCACCTGTGGCAGCCTGGAAAGGCAGCTGCTCATGGTTACAAATCTTCCTGTGGACCAGCAGCCACATCCCACAAAACACACAGAGTAGCATCTCAAAGTACCACTGTCCGTTGTCCTTTTTATGCTGATAGACTGAACTCTGTGGAAGTCCAACAGCTACCAGACAACCCAAGAGGAAGAGAGAACTGTCCAGGCAGCTGCTTGATGGAAGGGAAGACTCAGAGGTTCCCATTCATCTGTACTGCCTCCAGAAATATGAATCTAAGACAGGTTCAACAAAGTGTTAGTCTCAATTTACATGAGGAAAGTGAGGCACAGGGGCTAAGCAATTTGCTTAAGCTCACAAAGCCGGTGAAGAATGGAGTGGGAATGTGAGACCAATTCCCTGAGGTTCCACAGAACTGGCTCCCCATTGATCTGCAAGGAAAGTAGCCAAGGGGTCCCTCAAGACAACAGACTCACTGAGCATCCAGGCAGCCTGCATTTTCTTCAAAGCTTTACCAGTGGGAAGCTGGGCCTGATAGTCACACAAGAGAGAAGTGGACATTTCCCATTTCCCCATGACATTAGGAGGGCATTGCAGAAGACCTCCACCAGCCCTCATATCGTCATAGCAGCGCTGGCATGCCAAGGCCTGGGGTAGAGTGGCCTGTACCAAGGTTTTCAGGCTCAAAGCTGAAACTCTCCTACTCCCACACACACTCAGCTGACCACAGAAACCACAACTCCACCTCAACCAGGCCAATTCCACCTGATCCAAGCAGACCCTACTTCAGTCAGACAGAAGCCACCTCAGTCAGGCTGCCATAGAGCACAGCAGCCAAAAGTCATCAGAGCATCAAGAACTCAGGAAAACCACCGACCTCTGTACCTTCCCACCATGGGCTTGAGAACCCACCCCTTCCCACAAAGCATTCAGCTCACCTTTAGTTCAAGAGAGTCCAAAGGTCTGTCAAAAGCTACTTGCCCTGCAAAACAGTTCCAGCACATTCTTTGTTCCTTGTTCCCTCCTCCTCAGTAGATCAAAAATATTAAAATAATCTATGAAGAGAGTAAGGGAATCATAAAGTCCAGTGAATGAGTGCAGGCATCCAGGCCACTCCTCTTAGGACAAACTAAGTCTGGGCAGCCATGGGTCCATAACTACCCAGACTGACACCCCCTTCCTGGGTGTTACCTATGGTTCACGCAGATAAGCACATGTCGGTCCAATGGGGACTAAAAGAGCACTGTCCAACCCAAATCCTCAACTATAGACTCACCGAGTCAAGGGAGTACCAACACTGATGGCTGAGCTGGGGTCACTCAGAGGCTGGGTGCACCCCACAAAGAAGAAACAGTCTACCAGTCCCTCATCATGTAAGCACTCAGGAGCTGGCCAAAATATAAGAACTCAAGCTGATGTCACCACTGCCCGAGTGGAGCTAGAGACACAAATCACTTGAGAAATTTCTTCACTCAGTAAATGAGGCATCAGAGCACCGCCAGGGTGGCTACCAAGGGAAAGGCAGCTGCGAACCATGGCGGAAATGACCCAAGCACATGACCATGGCTCAGTGCACTACCCTGTCTTCTAACTCCTTGGTGCTGGCACAGGCATCTGAGCCATCTCCTATGAGCCCAAAGACCCCGATACCCAGAACCACCAGGCTTGTAAGCAGAGAAGGCAGGAGCCTAGCCCAATTCAGCAATGGCTGGGACAAAGGGGCCATGCCAGTCCCCTAAACCTAGACGGAAAGACCACAAACACACATGACCCAGAGCAGACAAACACAAACACAGACACACCCAACTCAGACAAGATTCCTTGCCTGCTCCCAAGATAAGAGGTGTGAAAGCTTCCCAGCAGCACAGCCTCGACAGTCCCACATCTCTACAGTGGTCCCAGCAAGTCCACTAGTCACCATACATATGACTACCTCAGACCACATTAGCTGACAAGGAAACAGACATCCCAGACAGACAGGCCTCTCCCATACCAGCCTGTCTATTGCCAAGCCCATTTGAAAAGAGCACCCTGCAACCTCCCCCAAAGATGCACTGCCCTGGCTGGGGCAGAAGTGCCACACAACACACAGCACATGCACACTCTGCAACCCCTAGAGAACGAGGCAACGGTCCCCTTCTTCAGAGCCCCTTCCCCCCACAACTCTGACACTCTGCTGGAGGGGCGCCCAGAGAAAACCGGGCTGCATCTATTCACAGATTTAGAAAAAAAAAAAAGTTTGATGCAATAGCTGAATTAATTAGGTCTCCCAAGAATAGCTGAGCCAATGCAGCATTCTGTGTGTGCAATTTAATAAGCATGGATATTTAAAAGTTACAGATACTTAGGATGCAATGCAAAGAAACTTCCTATGGACACCAGTGAAAGGTTCAGGTACTAAGTGGTCCAGGAAATGCCCAAGAAGATCCCATAAAGCCTTTGACTCACATACAACACAGTCTGGGCTGACATGCCTCCATACCAAGTTCAAGAGCAACAGAAGGAAATGGGTGAGTCCAAATAAACTGCAGACCATCAGCAACCCGAGAGGCAGGACTCTGCTACCACTGACCAGGCCAAGTGCCCCTCAAGGTGCACAAACGGAGACTCCAGGGGCTGCAAGTGCCAAGTCTCTGCCAAGACAACTAGCTAGCTTCGTTTCAGTGTCTGTGCTCAACAACTTAAAGACAAAACAAGAGAGCCAATAAGCATACAAGGCTAATCAGCCGGGGACCACGAGAAGACATCCCTGTCATCAGAAAGGAAGGGGGAAAACTTCATTCTCATCTAAACATCTCTGCCAAGGTCCCATGGAGATCTGAGCCAGAAAGTCACAGCCTGGGTCCAGGCAGTATAACCTCTCAGAACTTGAGGTAACCTCTTTCTCGGACCTTTAGCGCTTAAGCTATATGGTCAAGGGTTATGTGCCCTGAGAGGGCTTTTCTATTCACTCTACTCCATGAGTACAGTGCTCAGACAGCACGAAGGAGGCCTTACGGCCTTACCCACAGGAGACTGACAAGGCCCCTAATTTCCTGAAATCAAAACAGCCCAAGGCCAGATAAGGTCGAACCAGGAGCCTTAACCTTTAGAAGCCAGAATGCTCAGCCCAGGAGGACCGCCCCCTCCCCTTCTCGGGCATGGTTTGCCAAGCCCCTAGACCCGGGGACACTTACCCGGGGCACCCTCCGCTTGTACTTGTTGGCATAGTCGAACTTCTCCTTCACGTCGTCCAGGCAGCGGCCAAGGCGGGCCTGCTCCTCCTTGCCTGTGTAGTCCTGGCTCAGCAGGATGTAGGCCCGCCAGTTGGCTGAGTCGAAGCCCCAGTGGCAGGTCCGGTTCTCCAGGGCCTTGTGCGAGTGTACCACGAACTTGTGCGGCGGGTACATGAGGCGGCAGTCGAGGCACTGGATGCAGGCGGCGCTAGGGCTGCTGTACAGCTCGGGCACCAGCAGCCCCTTGCACTTGCCGAAGCACTCGTGGTACACGCGGACGCTGCGCTCGCTGAGCTCCAGGCCCAGCGCCAGGCTGGCCGCCAGCTCCTTCTTGCAAGGCGGCGGATAGGCGCCGCCGTAGAGCAGCGCGTTGCACAGGCGCTCGGCGTCCGTCTTGGTGATGAGCCCGCACGAGGGCGCGGAGAAGGGCAGGATGCCCATGACTTTGAGGATCTCCAGCTGGTCGGCGGTGCAGCGTGAGCAATAGATGTGCAGCTCATCGCAGACTGAGTTGATCTGCTGCAGTGAGAAGTCGCGCAGCACCGAGTTGAGGATCTGTGGCAGGCACAGACGCTTCTCGCCTCCCACTACGAAACAAGAGATGGTCTCCCCTTCCAACACGGTCTCACAGCGCTCGGTGGAGCGATCCGACGGCATGAAGAAGGGCCCAGGTAGTACAGGCGGCGGCGGCTGGATGGCAGGCAGGTGCAGCACAGGCGGCGGCTCCGCGGCAGTAGGCACCGGCGCCGGCACTGTGGCCGCGCCCGCCTCCTTGGCGCTCTCCTTCTTGTAGGCCTCCTGCGCCCAGCGCGCCGAGAAAGCGGCCGGGCCGCCCAGCGAGCTCATGGAGCTCAGGTGGAACTGCTCCAACGTCTTCTGCAGCCCCGGGTGCGGCTGGAAGCCGCCCCGGCCGGCCGCCGCCGCTTCCATGGTGCGATCGGGCTCCCCGGGCCGCTCCCGCTCCCGTGCGCCCGGGCCCCCACGGCCTCCGCCGCCGCCCCGCGCACCCCGCCGCCGACCGCGACCGCGGCCCCGACCGCCCCCCGTCGCCGGCTCACGGCCGATCACGGCCCCGGCCTCGGCCTCGCCCGGGGGCGCGAAGGCGAAGGCGGGCGGGGCGAAAGGGTCCCGCCGCTGGAGCCCGCCGCCACCCGGGCCCGGCGCCACATCCACGCGCCCCGCGCCGCGCCCGCCGCCGCCGCCGCCGCCCGGGCCCCCCGCGCGCCCCCCGCGCGCCCCCCGGGCTCTAGGCGCGGGGCATGCCCCGGCGCGCGCCGCCAACGCCAACGCCAACGCTCGCGGGCCCGGGGCTCGCGGGGGGCGCGCGGGCAGGTGCCGGCGCCGCGAGGCGCGAATCGCCGCGGCGGCCGAGGCCGAAGGGCCCGGGAGGAGCGGGGGCGCGGGCGCGGGGCCCGCCGGGCCGTCCTCGCGCGGCGCGCCGCCGCTGCCCCGCTCCTCCCACCGCGCGGCGCCCGCTCGGCTCGTCCCGGCGGTGCTGGCCGGCCGCGTCGCGCCCGCCGCCGGCCCCTGGCCGCCTGCCCGCCCGCGCGGCCGCCCGCCGGCTCCCGGCCGCCCGCCGGCCCGCGCGCGCGGCTCCCGGGGCGGCGGAGGCGCCTCTGGCCCCCGGCCTCAGAGCGCGGCGGCGGCGCGGGGCTCGGCGCGCTCGGCGCACATCTTTCGGGCGGCTCGCTCCGGCTCGGACTGAGCGCCGGGAGCTGAGCTCACGCCGCCGCGCGCCGCCCCGCCCCGTACCGCCCCGCCCCGCCCGCGCCGGCCCCGCCTCCCGCGTTGTTTGTTGCTGTGCGTCCGCCTCAGCCAGAGTGCGGGCCAGGAATGTGACCAGCTCCGGGCCGGCTCTTCCAAGAACGCGCTCTCCCCCTCCCGGACTCGGGGGCGCTCGGCTACGCCCGGCTCGTACTCGGCCAAGCTCGGCTCCGTCCGTCCACAGCTCGACACTGCTCGGGTCCCCCGGGCCGGAGCTCGGCCCCACTCGGCCCCGCTCGGCCCCGCTCGGCCCTACTCGGTCCCGCTCGGCCCCGCCTTGTGAAGGCCGCTGGAGGCGGCCACAGCGGAGGCGCCTGGGGCCCCCCTTCCGGCCGAGGCCGCTTCCTGCGCGGCTGGGAAGTCTCCGGTCCTGTTGCCACCACGGTCTTGGGGCCCCGAAACCCACAAGGCCCCTGCCACAACCGCAGGCCAGCTGAGTGGCGGTCCGCAGTAGACCTGCGCCGCTGCCGCCTTACGCCCCAGGGTCCTCTTTCTACGGAGATACTGCGAAATAGCCTCCACTCCCCGTGCTGCTGGACATCATGCTCTATAGGACCGGAACGCCATGAGACACCCCGGAGGTGCACTCATAACAGCAACACCACAAAACAATCCCCGAGTGCCCTCATGACAAGGATGCCACAAAACTCGGGGTCTGGATACAAGAGTGTCTTAAAGCACCCTAGGGTCTCCACAGGACCAAAGTCCCTGTTCCCATATGATAAGGGCACCACAACACTCATTCCAGGTCCCTGCATAAGGACACCGCAAAATATTCAACACCGGGCTGTCCTTATGATGAGAAAATACCACAAAAATCCAGGTACCCACATAACCGATACCTCACAAAGAACCACCCAAGGGCTCCGATGCAGAAGGACTGCCCAAAGTACATCTAGATTTCCATGTGTAGTTACGATGCCACCTGATATACAGAGCTCCACACCCAAGTTCCACACAGCTAGCTAGAATTGCAGAACCTAGAAGCTCACAGCATGACCTAGGGATGCCAAGGCACAGCTATGGAAATTCCCTGTGTCACCGGCAAGACAACATCGACCACCCCATGAACTGTGACGACCCAGCCTCTCACCGGTGATATTGCCACCAGCAGCTGCTGTCTACTAGACCCTGTTCTGTGCGGTGGGGACTTTGGGACACAATTCTGCATTGAAGAAGCTGTGCCTATCAGCTATTGCCCCTTCTTGAGCCACCACCCATTAGCCAGCAGCTTGGACAGCAGATCTCTGATTCTCAGGCTGGCTGCCGGTGTGACCCTTACCCTTCAGCCTCTAGGACTGGGAACCAAATATCCATCTGTATATCAGGTATCCAGGTTATGACCAGATTAAGACACCACTGTCTGCCCTTCCATGTACTGGCTGTACAATGGGATCATAGTAGGACAGTCTTGCAGAGTGACACCTAAAGTAGGTGACATACAACAGAAGGCCTGGCACAGGAATTCAAAATCAAACCCTGAAGGACAGTTTAAGTCAAGAAGTGGAACTTTTTCCCCCTCCCCCCAAAGAACTGGACCTCAAACTGGCCTGGGCATAGGCCTTTCCTGATTGGTAAAAGCTAGAAGGTCATGCATAGGGCAGCCTGGGTTACCTCCAGCTTGTGACCTGTTTCTTACCTCCTGGGTAAGACCAGAACAGGCACAAACCAACACTCCTAGACACAGCTCCTACCCTGGGACTGGCCAGGCATCTCTGTGCAAGCTTCGGCTGCCCCTACCTCAAGGCAGGGCTTGATATTTCAAAGAGCAGGGTTCCCTGTATGAAAACTAGATAGTTCCCAATGTGGAGACACAAGTCCACTCCTAAGTTCCCTATGCTTGCCCAGAGTACCCAGGGGATCAGCCTTCCTTCTTATCACAATTCAGGCTCAAAGTTCACTCTTCTGAATTCACTCATAATGGAGAGTTCGCACCTTTAGTTACCTCTTCTGTCAGGACATAAGACAACTGGTAAGGGATTGGCAAGATGGCTCAGAGGTAAATGGTTACCCCCAAACCTGACAACCTGAAAGGAAGAGAGAGAAAAATGGTTCCCATAACTCATCTGCTGACTTCCATACATGCACTGTGGCATGAGCCTCCCCGCTACTCAAAAAAATTTTTCAGTGTAGTAAATAGTTTTTTTTTTTAAGATGGTTGATTATTCCTTAGGGGAACATTTAAAAAACAAAAGAGACTTAGTTGTATCCCTGTAGATAGCTTTATCGGCCCACGTGTAGACCCCATACAAATTAATGTTGCATTTGAGGGAATGACTTCCTTGCATGGGATTGTATTCTATACAGTTCAGGCAAATTTTATCCAAAGAAGATGGCTTAGACAGCCATCGGATGAGCTGTGCATGGTCAAATACACTTTAATCCCAGCACTTGGGAGGGAGGCAGAGGCAGGCAGACCTCTATGAGTTCCAGACTAACCTGGTCTACCTAATGAGATCCATCTCAAAAAATAAAAAAAGGCAAAGAAGTTATGCTGTTTATCTTAGTGGGGCCCTGAACACCAATCTCAGTGGCCAGTGCTCTCAAAGATGCTACATGCATCATATGGCTATCTTGATGCAAGGCCCAAACAGGAACTAGCATTGGCCCCTAGATGCAGAACCCAGTGAAGTAGATGTGACCAGATGCAGTGTAAACGTACTTGTCCCTAAAGGGCATCTAGGAAGGAGGTACAGGGTAAAGAGCCCTAGGAAGCAAGGAGGGCTTCAGGCTGGCTTCTGTGCCTTCCAACCTCAGTGGACTCAAAGGCTTTCCCTATGCTCGAGACGACAGAACTTCTGAAGCAGCCGAACACAGTGTCAGGGTAGCTGTGACAGACAGTGCTAGCAGGACCTCATGCTCTTGCGGAACTCAGTGGAGGGTTTCTACCTGCTGGCTTTCTTCCTTCAACCCCTCCCACAGCTGTTCTGGCCCATTACACGTCATGCTATGGGTAAATGGAGCATCTAGACCACAGCCACAACCATGTTGGGTGAAGGGTTGGAGGCTTGGTGCCTGCCTAGAGAACCTCAAGCATGCAGATGGAGGAAGGGACCCAATTGCACAGGCACATCCAGCCCACTGCCTTGACTTGTCATACTAGTGTTTTTGGACAGTTGGTCAAATGCTTGTCTCTCCTCTATACGTACACACTTGCCAATCTCCCTCTACAAGTGGGAAGGAGACCAATTCTGACCTGCGTGGCTTCCATTATTGTGTGAGAGTAACAATGGAGCGACAAGCCTGCCCAGACAGATGAAAGCTCATGAGGGCCTGAGGAGCAGAAGTGGGATGGGCTGGCTTTAGACAGAGAAGACTTCTTAGGGGATGGATTCCTGGGAGTAAGAAGCAAGTAGCTTGGAGACTGGCTGACAGCTGCAGGATCAAAGGGAGTCCCGATATGCTCCTATTCTAAGGGGACTTAGACCCAGCAAGAGGAATGAATGCTCTGTGAGGGCCAGGCCAACAGCTCCACAGAAACCTTCCCATCCAAAACCCAGATCTTGAGGGCAGGGCAAAGCTCCTGGACCTGAACCCACCACCCCTCCTTGGGATGGGAAAAGATCTGTAGCACTCTGGCATAAACTGCCTAGACTTCTGTCTAGTTCAGCATCCACTAAAAACAGACCCTTAGAAGACAGAGTTGAGCCCAGTTGTGGTGGCACACACCTTTAATTCTAGCACTCAGGAGGCAGAGGCAGGTGGAGCTCTGAGTTCAAGGCCAGCCTGATCTACAGAGGGAGTTCCAGGACAGCCAAGGCTAAGCAGAGAAACCCTGTCTTGAAAAACTAAACCAGAAAAAAAAGAAAGAAAGAAAAGAAGAAGAAGGAGACATTTAAATGTAACTCATTTGTTTAAGAGGCCATTCCAGAAAGCACAGGTGGGATTCAAGGTTGTAAGAGAAGAAAGAGGAGCCAGGCTACAGGGAGTGTGGGGCAGAGCTTTTAACGAATTGGACAAGAGCAGCAGAATCCTCACCTGCAAGGAATTTAGAGCCATCCCTGGGGTAGCCACCCAAGGGGCAGAGGCCCAAGGTTGAGAGACATGCCCAGGACTAGAGAGACTAATTCCGTACAGAGAATATATGAGGAGAACCAAGGCCAGTTCTCACTATTAGAAATAGGCAATGTTCTTAATGGAATAAGGGGCGACTTGGGAGATGGCTCAATTATAAGGAGTTTGCTACATAAACATAAGAACCTGAATTTAGACTGGGCGGTGGTGGCGCACACCTTTGATTCCAGCACAGGAGGCAAAGGCCAGCCTAGTCTACAGTGCGAGTTCCAGGACAGTCAAGGCTACAGGGAGAAACTCTGCTTTGAAAAAAAAAAAACAAAACAAAAAAGAGCCTGAATTCAGATCCTTACTACCAGTGTAAAAAAGCCAGCCATAGGCCGGGTGGTGGTGGCGGCGGCGGCGTACGCCTTTAATCCCACTCGGGAGGCAGAGGCAGGCGGATCTCTGTGAGTTCGAGGCCAGCCTGGTCTACAGAGTGAGTTCCAGGACAGGCTCCAAAAGCTATACAAAGAAACCCTGTCTTGAAAAACCAAAAAAAAAATAAAATAAATAAATAAAACAGCCAGCTGTAGTAGTACACACCTGTCATCCCAGTGCTGGGGAAATAGGGACAGGAAGAACTCCAGGGCTTGCTGGGAGCTGGCAAGGTGGTTCAGCAGGTAAAGGCACTTGCCACCATGCTTGACAATCTGAGTTTGATTCTTGTGGTCCCACAAAGTAGAAGGAGAGAGCTGACCCAACAAGTTATCGTTTAACCTGTGTCCTACTGTGGTACATGCGTGTACTAATGGTACGCACACTCACTAGTAAATAAATATTTTTTAAAATAATTTTAAAAATGGTGAGTGATTGAGGAAGCCACCTCACATTGACCTCTGTCCTCCACATGCATGTGCACACATGTATGCATACTGACAAATGTATGTATTTCCACTCATATGCATGCATTCCCACACTTATGTACATGGACACATACACAAAAAAAATGTGACATGAAAGCAGAAGTGGGAACTGCTTGGGGGAAAGTCGGGGACTAATAAGAGAAGGTAGAGAGAGTGGCAGAGGGCAGTGGGGAAGCAGGGCGAGTAAGAACAAAGGGGAGTGACCAGTGCATGAAAGAAAACGCCGTGAAACTCATTACTTCGTATGCTACTGAGGATCGGAACTGTGTGGTGTTGGACTGGAATCAGTGATACTGTGTGACCTCCCATCGTGTCTATAAACAGAACAGAGATATAAACACGGGCATCACTCCTGGCTTTGTTCACTGGAGGAAGGACTCTGAGCATCAGTGAGAAATGCAAGGCACAAACCTTGGCTTTTGCATTACATTCTTCTGAAAAGACTCAGAGCCTGGGGAGAAACAGGTGAGTCTGGGACAAGGGAAGGCCTCCAAGGGTGAAAGGCATGAGCAGGGGACACAGAGGGTTTGCAGAAGCTGACCAGGTCAGACAGTGTAACAGTAGTAGAAGATAACAGGGAAGGGTAATAATCACAGACTGAGATAAGAAACCACAAGTTCATACACGTTTAATATTTAATATGATAGTGAGTTAAAAGCTAAATGAGAACTATTTGCATATTTAAAAGTATTTCCCCTAAAACTGCTTGTTTGTTACAAAGGAAAAAGAGCAATTTCCCAGTAGAGATTCTGAAAGCTGCTACCTTAATTGAGCCACCAGAGTGGATCCTGTAAATAACAGGATTCATGACACTCCTGCCCCACCAATATGAGTGTGAGCAGACCTGCAGCCACCCCTGTCAGTTACCTCCAAAGACCCACAACCTCCATCTAACTGTGACAGGTCCTCAGTGATGAAACATTCAAACATAGTTGTGGGGACTTTCCCTAGAAGGTCTCCTTTATAAGCACCAGGACCACTGCAAACAGGGAAAGGCCAGGCATGTTGAAGGCTAACAGACAAAAAATGAGATTTCAGCTGGGCAGTGGTGGCACACTCCTTTAATCCCAGTACTTGGGAGGCAGAGCTAGGTGGATCTCTGTGAGTTCGAGGCCAGCCTGGGCTACCAAGTGAGTTCCAGGAAAGGCACCAAAACTACACAAAGAAACCCTGTCTCGAAAAACCAGAGAGAGAGAGAGAGAGAGAGAGAGAGAGAGAGAGAGAGAGAGAGAGAGAGATCAGTCTAGCACGTGCTCCTGACCAGGCTGATCTATCTTGTCCCAACAAGAGACATTACTAGGACAACCAAGGAGCCTGGATTAGGTCTCAGACCGACATGGCCTGCTTTGGATAGCCCTGTTAGGGTATTACAAAAACTGTCCTTGGGTGTGGTGAAACGCCATGCTGGCCGCTGACTGTCAGGAGTGATGAACACCTGCTACTCTTGCAGCATCTACGTAAGTCTGAGTACAGAGTACAAACTTCATTATTAAGAGTGTTGGATGAGGCAGGCTGAGCTCTCCACGTCTGCTGAGTATGAACTATAAAACAGGATAGAGAGGCTAGACAAAGTCCTCTAGTGAGCCCTGTGGAAACAGACAGGACACCAGAGCTTGTGCTACAGCTCAACCAAGACAGTACAAGGTCCCCTTCTCAGTCCAAGCACAAATACAAAAAATAAATATGCCAGAAAAAAAATGTGCTGTTTAAACATTCTGCAAAAAATGTGCAAGGAAGCTGGGTGGTGGTGGTGGTGGTGGTGGTGGTGGTGGTGGTGGTGGTGGTGCACACCTTTAAACCCAGCACTTGGGAGGCAGAGGCAGGCGGATCTCTGTGAGTTTGAGGCCAGCCTGGTCTACAGAGCAAGATCCAGGACAGGCACCAAAACTACACAGAGAAACCCTGTCTCGAAAAATAAAAAAAAAAAAATGTAGATGTATTTATTGTATTATTTTGTGTTTAGAGTGTTTTGCCTGCATGTATGTGTGTGCATCATGTGCATGCCTGGTGCCTGCTAAATTCAGAATTAGGAGTCAGATCCCCTGGGACTGGAGTTAACAGACAATTGTGAGCTGCCTTATGGGTGCTCACACTAGAACCCAGCTCCTCTGCAACAGCAACAAATGCTCTTAACCGTTTAGCTAACTCTCTAGCCTCCATAAAATGTTTTAAACTGAATCAATCATTATTAATGTTTCTGGACAAAACTGACACTGTACTTTGATTTTATGTGTCTGTGTGGTGCTAGGAATCAAACTCAAGGTGTTGAATGTTAAACAGCATTCTAACACTGCGAATAACACCAGTCTGCTACTTCGAAATGCTACAGCTTTTATCTTACATACAAAAAAACCAAGAAAGTGTGTTTTGCAGGAGCCATAGGTATTTTAAATTTTTTTCTTTGTGTAAACCTGAATTTCTTACTTTCCTAAAAAAGATGCTTTTGGTTTTGTTGATCTTCTCTGTTGTTTCTTTCTAGACCATTCTAGGTGGGAGGAACTTCCCCCACAATGGGAATTTCTGGAGGGTCAGGCACATGGCCCGAACAGGGTCACTTGTTCAGGGTGGTCTTAGGTATGTGCCTGCATCCCCTTGGATAATCATTCTATGGGTCCCAGCATCCACAGGAAGTCCTGACCTGCCTTTAACACACAGGAAGCGAGAACAGAAGGCTTGTCATAGGGTCACACCTGTGGGTTATACTGTACTTGTGATATGTGGGAGTTAGAGGGTGAGCTCAATGTGCTGCGGCAGGGATAGTCTTACAGCTGCTGACCACCTCAGTCAGCACGAGCCCAGCTCCTGCATCCTCCCACTTTCAGCAGTATCCTTGGGCAACCTCTGGTCCTTGACATCCTGCAGGTGGAAAGAAAGAAAAGTGGTGCTTCTTTCCTGTGTCAAACAGAAGTGCCTACATCACTGCCAACCTAGAAGGGCAACCATGGGGTCACCAGTTTCTGAGGCTCAGGACAGGACAATGGCCAATCTCAGGAGCCCAATAATCCAGGACCTAGGCTGGGAGGTGGGGTGAGCTCCTGGACCCTTCTCTGTGGAAGACCCTTATCCAACCCCATTTGCCCTGTACATGGTTCTAAGGCTGAGGGTGCAGCAGCAGGAAAGAGAGGGCTCCCATCCTGAGCAGCTTGGGGCCTGAGCTGATGCCGTGTCCAAAGCCTGTGGACAGCTAGCAGGGCATTCCAGCAAAGGCTGGGGTGGAGGAGCTGCACACTGAGCCTGGAGGAGCTCATATATGGACACCCTACCCTACAGTCCCACCAAAGCCTCCTGGACCCTGTCCCCCGAAGCATGCTGTGCTGTTCTGGAATGTGTACCTAGCTGGCAATAGCCTGCCTTAGGCTTCAGCCACACTGTGAAGATCACAGCATAGCCGTCTCATGCCCATGGCCCGCAGCACTCTGCCAGGCCTGAGCCCCAAGGCTAAAGCTGTGGTCCTGAGTGGTTAAAGGGATCATGTGTAAAACATGAGGGCAGAAGGCCCAGGGGCTACAGGACAGAGGGGGCAGGGATCATGGTAGCATCGGTGCATCCCCTATCATCCTTTGGGCTCCTTTTGTTGCCCCTTTGCCTGGCACATGGGTGGCAGTGGCACTGTCCTTGTCACATAAAGGTTTAACCTGCTCCTTCAAGGCCACTTCTCAATGCCTCTCCCAGGCCCCAAAGCTGCAATGTTGTTGGGAATAATGATAAAACTTCATGTGCCACAAGATCCAGAGCCCTGATGCCAGACTTATTTCACCTTGAGGCTCAAAGGGTTGTGTTAGTGTCTATACAGCACACAAAGCATTCGAGGACACTAGTAAGGGGCTTGGAAGTCAAAGCAAGTTTTGCCTACAGGGCTCATATAGCATTACTGAGAGAGTACAGGGCAGGGTACATTCTCAGGGTCAGACCCCAGAGTTCTTGAGAAGCCCCACAACAGATTCCTACTCATGAGACATACTTGTTGTGCCTCCCAGCAGTCAGGCAAGGCCTTAAAATCTATCTTCGGGCAGTGGTGGCGCATGCCTTTAATCCCAGCACTCGGGAGGCAGAGGCAGGCGGATCTCTGTGAGTTCGAGGCCAGCCTGGGCTACAAAGCAAGTTCTAGGACAGGCTCCAAAGCTACACAGAGAAACCCTGTCTCGAAAAAAAAAAAAAAAAAATCTATCTTCATCTTATGCAGAGGGAGTCTAGCCTTCAGGTCCAGACTAAGCCCTGGTGACAGCCTTCCTCTCCTCCTCCTTGCTTTTCCCCTTAGCGGGTCAGTCCCGTACTGAGCACCTCAGGCAGCCCCAACCTCTTTGCACTCTCCTCCCCCAGACCTGTAAAGCAGGGCATAAGACCCTCTCCAGGAACCGCCTACCTCTCAAGACTTGGCTGGACTGATGACCCAGATCCCTTATGCCTGGTGTACCCTCACTCTGCTGCTGGTTGTCAGGCTGTGAGCAGAGACAGGAGACTCTCACTACATCTTAGGGAGTAGTTCAATGTCCCAGCAGAAGTTGTGCAAGTAAGATGGCTGTTCAGGTCTGCCCTGGGAGAAGACTCCTGTGTGGCTAGTAAGTACTTCTCTAAGCCTACTGATCACCCTGGTCCCAAGGAAGCACCAGTGGCCTCCAGCATGGCCTCTTTGAAGCACCCTCTGTCTGGACCTAAAATCCTTCCAGAGAATGATCACCAAGATGCTGCCCTGACCCCATCCTAGGTACACACCTAGTGTTTAGGCCTGCTATAGGAGGAAGGTGACGTTTCACATGCTCCAGAGAGGCAAAGGAGGAGCCCCAGGTGGGGTTGAGATACCATAAGAGAAGGAAGGAGAGGGAGGCATCCATAGGTCTTGGGATCCAGTCCCACCAGAGCCAGCCTCTCTTGGAGCAAGCACACGTCCTGGTTCAGGATCCTGTGAATGAAAAGTCAGGAGGCAGAGGGCAGGTGGAGCTGTAAGAAAGAGCCCCGCCTGCCTGCCTGCCACCCCTCCACACGTTCCAGAGCTTCTCTAGGGAGGGTCCTAGGTAACTTAGGAGGAGCCCTTTCCTCTGAATCACAGTCCTTCTGGCATCAGGATGGTGGAGGCAGCAGGGTGGACTTGGGTCTATGGCTGCTCAGTGACCAACCAACACAGCTGCCTGACACACCCTACACCCCAGGCCAGCCATAACATCCCTCCCCCACACCCCTACATTCAGGCTCTGGGGCCCCTTCCTGCCCTCTAAGGACCCAGCTTGTATCCCTGCTGCCCTTACACCCCTGGGCTGGTGCAGCATCCTCCTCCCCTGTACAGGCCCCAGGCCCCTCTCTCATGGAAGCAGGGCCTCCTTGTAAATCTGAGCCACACTTGGTTCCTGAGCAGGCCCCCTCCCGCCAGCCCGCCCTCGAGCCGTCATTTCTGGCAGGCCCTTGCAGTGAGCTCACGCATTACATAAGGCATTCGAGCTATTTCTTGGGGGAACAGCTCCCCCTCCGTGGGGCTCCATTTACCCTCACTCTTCTCAACCACCAACTGCCAAGCCAAAGGAGGTCTGGGCATGAAAGGACAGACCCTGTTCAGGGAAGGGGCTGCCCCTGCTCCCGCCTAAGGGGCCCCCAGCCACCGGAAAACAATGGTATTTGCAACAGAGGGACACATAAGCCCAGATGCCCAGGACAAGCCACCTCAGGGGGCCCAGGGCAGAGACGCAAAAGAAGGAAGGAAGAGGGAGGGGGAAGAGGGAAGTAGCGAAAGAGGGAGGGGAAGGAAGGAAGCAGCACTCCAGACTGCTAGGACAGCATGGGTTCCAGGGCACACAGCCACCAACGATAGGACAGACTTTTGTCTCTGCCACTCATCCCAGAAGGCTCTTGGTCTATCTCAGGGCACCTAAGTCCTCTTGGGCCCTCAAGCTCAGTGTTATCTAGTTGGCAACTACAGTCTCCTTTGGGACTCTGAAAAGTGCCTGATGAGGGAGGAGCCCTCAGGTGCCAAGTTTAAATGCTGATTCCAATGGCCCAGTCCAGAGATCCCAGGAATCCTCTCAGGCCTCAGGAAGCAAGGCCCTGGCCCCTCAAGCCCCCTGCTGTATTTCTGTGGCCTGGGCGTAAGAGAACCTGTTAGGGCACAGCAGCCCCCTGGGAGTGGGGAGCACAGCTGCAGAGACATGCAAACAGTATGCACTGGATATCTCTGAGTGCTGGGCCCTATCCCAGCCTGTTCCAGAGGAAAAGCCTGGCTCCTGCAAGGACGAGGCTGTGTTCCTCACATAGCCACTTTCCTTGCTGCATCAGGGCAGGAAAAGTACACCTGGGCCCAAGCCAAAGAGCCGTCTCTGTGCCCCCCCACCTTGCGGAGGCTGCCTGAGGCCAGAGTTCAGCCTGAAGAAGCAGGAAGCTGAGCTCCTCCAGCAGGCTGGCCACTTCCCCTTTCTGAGGAAGGGACACCCCAGTGGAGCAGCTTTCTATGTCCCAGCAAAGGCCATATGCCTGCAGATGTCCCCTGCTGGGACCCTGTCTCAGACCATACCCTGAGTGGGGGCAATCTCCTGCTAGTACCAGCGACAGCTAGATCACAAGCCTGTGTGCGGCAGAGGCCTGGAAGCACCATGGCTCCCTCTCATTAGTCTCTAGGAAGGAGTCTCTGTCCTCGTGAGCAACAAGAACATGTATTCCTCTCTCTTTTCAGACTCTGATTCTTGGAACTTACACCCTCTTGGGTTTGCTATTTTTACCCACCCTGAGCCTTCCGGTCTCCATGGCGACGCCTCCAAACAGCAGATTCCAGGCGGCAATGACGTCACCTTTCCCTTTCCTGCCGCCCAGGCCTCTAGGCGCTGCTGCCTGGGGCCCAGGGGCTGCCCTGTTCTGTGCCCCCTCAGAGCAGCCCTCAGCCAAGACTCCAAGGTCTGCGGGCTACAGCTGAACCTCTCTGCTTCCTGCTGGCTCAGTAGTTGGGGGTCTGGGGGAGAGCGTCCATCCTTCTAAATGCCCCTTGGAGTGGTTCTGCCAGAGCCCCTTGGCAGAGGGCACCAGCCCAGGGGAGGTGACCCAGAAGCAGCCTCCCTCCCACTCTGGGCTCTCTGCCACACCGGCTGCCCTGTTCTACCGAGCTGCCGCAGGCCCTAGTGGCTGGAGAGGAAGGGGCTGGCCGGCGCCAGCCTGCAGTCTGTCTGGCCTGGGAAGCTCCCCATGGCCCCTGCATCAGAAGCCAGTTCCCAAGAGAGGCAGCAACCTCAGCAGGGGGCTGAGGAGCCCACAGACTTGTGGGAAGCTGGAATGGGAAACAGCCTACTAGCTGGCTTGCCAGGAGCTTGCAGGGGTGCCCATGTGCATCCAACCCCCTCAAGTGAGGCTGAAAACAGGTCACCCTGCAGGGCCCCATCTCAACCTTAGGTCCTTGCCAGGCTGCAAAGATGGCCACATCCCCCCCCACAACCCAGGTTTCCTGTAGTCAGTCTGACTCTTCAGGGGCCACCTTTCTCCCAGCTGGGGCCATCTCAGCCCAAACTGAGAGCACGGACACCTGTGATCAAGATAGGGAGGAAGGTATGCTTCCTGCCTTCTGTGTTCTCTGTGGGAAGAGAACATTATGTCTTACTATGGCTCAGACATTCACTGAAAGAACTGCGAAGTCTTTCCTGTGCCTGGGGGCTGTGGATGTGTAGGGAGAGTACTTGCCTAGCATGAAGCCCTGAGTTTGTATCCCCAGCACCGTGTGAAGCCAGCAGTTTGTATCCCCAGCACCTTGTGAAGCCAGCTTGGTGGCAGAAGCCTATAATCTCAGCCCTCAGAAGGTAGAGATAGGAAGATCAGAAGCTCAAAGTTGTGTTTGGCTATATAGTTTGAAGCCAGAAGCCAGTCTGAGCTACTCAAGAACCTGTCTTAAAAAAAAAAAAAAAAAAAAGTCTTAAATTTTCCTGGAAGAATGGACAAGCTGGCTTCAAGAACTCTACCTCTCTTTCTGCAGCCAAGGAGACTTTCTCAGTCAAAGAGTCCCACTCACTCTAGACATGCTGCCTGCCACCTCCCCGAGGGATGTTGGGTCTCTGTTCCCCAAAACAGGGCTTGCTTTTCCTGTGGCCTGCAGAGTTCTTGACTCACACCCATCCTTACCACCCAAATCAGGTCTTAGGGTTCAAGTGGCTGGAGGGATGGCTCAGCGGTTACTGACTGCTCTTCCAGAGGACCCGGGTTCAATTTCCAGCACTCACGTGGCAACTCACTGCTGTCTATAACTCTAGTTCCAGGAGACCCGACACCCTCACACAGACATACATGCAGGCAAAACACTAATGCACATAAAATGAAAACAAATAAAGGTCACTGAGGGCTGGAGCTGGGGCCCCACTCTGTCCTTCTGAACCCTAGTAGGAAAAGACAGTCCTCAGGGTGAGAGACTGAGACAGAGGACGTGGTTTCTAGGCTCACATTCCTGCCTCCTGCTTGATTCCAGGAACGAAGCCCCAACTTGCCTCCATCTGACATCGGCAGGCGCAACCACAGGTCCGGGCAGGAGGCAGGCAGGTGGGTGGCTGTCTCCAGAGCCCCACACAGTCAGTCACCAACCAGCTGTGCAGGGTGTTCAGCTGGGTCTTTCCAGCCAGCCTGGCGCTCGGGAGCCCTGTCCTAAGGCTGTATCCACAGTAAAGTGGCCTCTTGAGACAGGATTGGAGAGCCAGTGAGGGCTGGAGTATCTGAGCCAGGTGGTTCCACTCTCAGGAGTGGAAGAGGTTACTGTAAGAAAGAGCTGTGGCTTGTCTGGTAGAGTGACCACTCCAAGCTCCAAAGACTCCTGGGAAGGCGTGAGCAGAGCAGGGAGGCTTCACATTGAGGAAGTCAAGTTCACAGATGAGCAGCTTCCAGGATGAAATAGAGGGTCACCCTTCATCAGACATGTGGGTAACCCCTTCACCTTGGGGCTTTTTTTTTTTGGTTTTTCGAGACAGGGTTTCTCTGTGTAGCTTTGTGCCTTTCCTGGGACTCACTTGGTAGTCCAGGCTGGCCTTGAACTCACAGAGATCCGCCTGGCTCTGCCTCCCGAGTGCTGGGATTAAAGGCGTGCGCCACCACCGCCCGGCCACCTTGGGGCTTTTTATACAAGGCCTCCTGGATCATACTGTCCTGTCCAGCTCTTCTCTTCTACCCTAGGTGCATAACAACTTAATGGGAGGCCCCAGTCCAAGTACTGGCCAGCCTGTTCTACCTGAATCATGGTCTTGAAGGGACATTGATCCTTGGGGTAGACCCTTGGCCAGGTCAGAATGTGGAATCAGGAGAGGGGCTACAGGGCTAAGTCTAGAGTGAAAGTCTCACTCCTAGGTTCGTCTGACCAATACTCCAAAATAGATGGAGTGAGCATTCTGGGTAGGCAGGATAGCAGATCCTGAGGCAGGAAACATTTGGTCCCTGTATGGCTCAGGGGAATGGAAGGCAGGGTGGCAGAAGAGAAAGTGTGAGTTGGGTAGTCAGACAATATAGTTTTACTCCCTGGGAGACCTGGGTCTGAGTGGGCACTAAATTGGACTTCATCCCTAAAACCATAGTGGACAGACTGAGTGAGGAGAATGGGAGTCAGGTCCTCATGCCTCCCAGTTACTGGGGCTTCCCAGGTACTTGAACCAACACATCCCCATGCATGCACTTCCCTGTTAGGAAAACCAATGGGGTAATGGAGAAATTATGTGGGGTGGACAAGGCTGTTTTTCCTGAACATTTTGTTCCCGGCTCTGCCCCTAGCTTGGCATAAGGCTGGAATGGGCAGCTAAGGAGAAGGCCTTCATCTGGCCAGCTCAAGCCCCTCTGGGGCCCCTAGCCAGCTCCTTCTACCTTGCCCACGGAACCACTGCCCACCGGCCTGCAAGACCTGCAGAATGGAGAGTGGGTGTTAAGCAAACAGGTGCCTTAGCAACTCAGAGGGGAGACTGGAGGCTGGAGGAGCCCGGGTGTAGACCCTGGCTCAGGGTGCGCCTGGCCTCACAATCAACAGTTTGCAGGGTCTTCACAGGAATGGCATCTGCCTCCACCCAGCACCTTCCAGAGATTAGTCCACTTCCAGGCTGAGTGCTGCCCAGCAAGCCTCCCATTTCCATGAGTAATATTTAACTTGGAAGGGCCCTGGGACAACTGCAGGGGAGAAGTTAATAACAAGTTTGGATTGCAATCTGCTTGCCAGGAGAGGAGGGAGGGAGAGGCATAAAGAGAGGACAAAGTTGAGAGGAAGAAAGGAGGGCAGGAAGCAGGGCATAGAGACAGGGCTCCATGGACCGCTCAAGCCAGGGAATTCAGGGCTGTGGTCTGAGTGTAGCCAAGGGCCCAGGGCCACAGGATCATTTTACCTCAGGAGTTGGGATTCTGAGGCCAACTAGTGGTTAGACACACACTGGACTTGCAACTGAGCCTGCCAAGCCTTAGTTTCCCCTGCAGAAACCACCATGGATTAAATAGAAGTCTGGGAAGTTAACTCTGGGCACAGACCACCACCACCACCACCACCACCACCATCACCAGCGCACGCGTGCGTACACACACACACACCCCTGCCTGTAACTCTGAGGCTTTAACACAAGGCTGGAAAAATCCATGAGGCTACAGCAAAAATGAGTTTCCACCCAGAGGGTGGGGAGATGGGAAGAGTAAGACCAGAGCTAGGACAGGCTGCTGCAGAGGACCAGCACTTTCAGGGTTGACTGCCACAGACCTGGGCTGTACAAGGCTATGGCCATGTGCCCTCACTTATCACAGGAAACAGTACGGATATTTCTGGGGGAAAAAAAACTGCTGCATTAATGTCTCTGGCACCTGCCTGGCATAATGTACCCCCCAAAACACAGAAGATGAGTGGAAGTTGGAAGCCAGGTCAGGCTGCCATCACATGAGTGTAGGGGGAGGGGAAGGCTGGGCTAGGAGTCAGGAGTGCCAAGCTTTTATGACTCTAACCAAACTCCCTGAGAGACCCAGGAGCTCTTTCCTGGCATTGGGGTGCTTTCTTACTCAGAAAAGAGGAAAGAGGCCTGTGTCATTTTGTAGCCTCCACAAGACCTCAGCTGCTAATGCTGAAGGCCCTTGCCCAAAAGACCAGGGCAGGTTGTCCTGGGTCTCTGGACTGCTTGGGCCTGGACTACCAACCCCAGTTCTTCTGGCAGCCTCAGAATGCCTGCCTCCATCCTGCCTCATTATCACATACTCACCTCTATTCCAGAGTGTAGCAAACTTATGTGGGTTTTATTTGTTTGTTTGGTTTTGGTTTTTCTTTTTCTTTTTTTTTCCTTGTAACAATTTTTTTTTCCTTGTAACAATTTTTTTTCCAAGACAGGGTTTCTCTGTGTAGCCCTGGCTATCCTGGAACTCACTCTGTAGACCAGGCTGGCCTCGAACTCAGAGATCCACCTGCCTCTGCCTCCTGAGTGCACCCAAGTCTCCAGCCCTATACCTACGTTTTTGAACAGTATTGTTTTTCAATGATGTGTACTTTCATAGGGAGAATAATTCTTCCCCCACAACCTTGGGACTCTGTGATTTGTCACTGGCTGTTGGGTACATCATTAGAGTAGAAACTGCATCTTTACTCAGGCGGGACACACTCTGAGACACGGTGTGACAAAGTCACACCCACAAGGTGGGAGATGCCCTTGTGACTCCTTTACCACTGCCTTCTGCAACCATTTGTTTCAGAAAGTTGAACTGTTCTGTTTTCAATTCCACAGCCTGGAGCTACATCTCAGTCACAGCTTTCCAATTCATGAGAGCAGAACCTCCCTGGGCCTGAAAAAGGCTGGACAAATAAAGCCTTTCCCCTCAAAGGAGGCTTTTGATTCACTGGTCTTCAGGATAGGGTCTCCCAGGGCCCTTCTTCATCCTTCACACTTTATTTCTCAAGGGGAAAATCAGCCACTACCTCCACATCACACACACACAGAGGAATAGAGCCCAGGGTAGGTGGGCTGCAGGAATTAGGGCTTCTGTGGTCCTGAACAGAGTCCTCGACACATTAATGTGGCACTTCTGGGGACAGAGAGACACCCATGGCATCCATGCAGTAGAATGAGTCCACACAGAAGACCATTTATACCCC